GCGGCGACATCACTAATGTAAAGCAGAGGGTCGCTGATGCCAGTGCCCCCATTGATGAGGGTATGCTACAGCGAACACGGCGACATCACTAATCTAAAGCAGAGGGTCGCTGATGCCAGTGCCCCCATTGATGAGGGTATGCTACAGCGAACACGGCGACATCACTAATCTAAAGCAGAGGGTCGCTGATGCCAGTGCCCCCATTGATGAGGGTATGCTGCAGCGAACACGGCGACATCACTAATCTAAAGCAGAGGATCACTGATGCCAGTGCCACCATTGATGAGGGTATGCTACATTGAACATGGCAAGAAATCGAGTACCGTCTTGATGTACTTTGTGCAACTAATGGTGCCCATATAGAGGTGTATTAAATGAGGCAAAAAAAAAACATAAATATATACGTCTCATTTTGTAGTAATTTCCACATATCTGTCTCTTCATTTGCCTTTGTAATAATTTTTTTAAACTGTTAGGAGACTTTATGGACACCCTGTATGTATGTATATATATAAATCCTTTAAGTAATGTTTCAGCAATCCACAAGAGTATTTCAGTTGTTATGATAGTTTAAAAAGCCATTGTGGCCTTTTAATGGAGTATTACTTTGTCACATGCTCCATCAAGAGATTAAAGCTTTCGCAAACTAACTTTTTATAATTTCAATTGACTGATCCTCTGTGCTGATTTGTAACATGGAGGACATGAATTTCAAAGTCAAAGTCAGCTTTATTGTCAATTTCTTCTCATGCACTGGACATGCAAAGGGATCGAAATTGCGTTTCTCACTGTCCCATGCGCAGACAAGACACAAGACATGACAGGATAGGACAAACAGTGAAGTGCACAAGCACAACAAAAAACACATCCTAAGTACTGAGTAACAGTATATAAAGTATATAAAGTGCAGGCAGCTTAAGGCATATACTTTTGGTACTGAAATAGAGATATATAAAGTGTTTCCAGTATTGTAAAAAGTGTTTCTGTGCAGAGAATTTCAATAATAGTAATGCTAGTAATAGTAATAGCAGCTGTAATAGTAATAATAATAATACAATACAATAATAATAATATAATAATAATAATAGTAGTAGTAGCAGATTGTGCAATTTGTATATTTCAGAGGTAGTCGTTTCTGTGGGTCAGAGCCAAGAGTGTTTCTCTTTTTTGGGGGAGGGCGGCAGATTCCTAGCCACTTGCTAGTCTGGTGGCTCTGTTGGCTGGTGCTGAGTGTGGGGGGGGGGGGAGTTCAGTAGTCTCACAGCCTGGTGGATGAAGCTGTTGCTTTGTCTGGTAGTGCGGGAGCGGAGGCTCCTATACCTCCTTCCAGAGGACAGGAGGCTGAACAGATCGTGTGCAGGGTGGCTTGCATCGCTCACAATTGTGATGGCTTTGCGGGTGAGGCGGGTGGTGTATATATCTTTCAGGGAGGGAAGTGGTGCAACAATGATCCTCTCAGCTGTGCTCACAATGCGCTGTAAGGCTTTCCTGCTGTATTCAGTGCAGCTCCCTCCCCACACAGTGATGCAGCTGGAAAGGACGCTCTCAATGGTTCCTCTGTAAAAGACGGTCATGATGGGTGGTGGAGCTCTTGCCTTCTTGAGTTTGCGCAGGAAGTAGAGGCGCTGCTGGGTTTTCTTTGCCAGTGTTGCAGTGTTGGTGGTCCAGGAGAGGTCTTCACTGATGTGCACCCCCAGGAATTTGGTGCTCCTTACTCTCTCCACAGCAGCACCGTCGATGGTCAGTGGCAGATGTTGGGTGTGGTCTCTCTGGAAGTTGACAACAATCTCCTTGGTCTTGCTTACATTCAGCAGGAGGTTGTTGTTCTTGCACCACGTGGTCAGAAGGTCGACCTCTTCCCTGTAGTGAGTCTCATTTCCCTTGGTGATGAGCCCCACCAGAGTTGTGTCGTCCGCAAACTTCACAAGGTGATTGGAGCTGTAGGTTGGTGTGCAGTCGTGTGTCAGCAGGCTGAAGAGCAGAGGACTGAGCACACAGCCTTGTGGGACTCCTGTGCTCAGAGTGATGCTGCTCGAGGTGTTGTTGCCGACGCGTACTGCTTGTGACCTTTGGCTGAGAAAGTCTAGCAGCCAGTTGCAGAGGGAGGTGCTGAGGCCCAGTTTGGCAAGTTTGCAGATGAGTTGTTGTGGTATTATGGTGTTGAATGCTGAACTGAAATCTAAGAACAGCATTCTCACATATGAATCTTTCCTGTCCAGGTGAGTGAGAGCTGGGTGGAGGACAGAGCAGATTGCGTCCTCTGTGGATCGTTTAGCTCTGTAAGCGAACTGGAAGGGGTCCAGGGTGGGGGGGAGGATGGATTTGATGTGTGACATGACTAGCCGTTCGAAGCACTTCATGATGATGGGCGTCAGTGCCACAGGACGGTAGTCATTGAAGCAGGATGGTGATGATTTCTTTGGCACAGGTACGATGGTGGCAGCTTTGAAACATGATGGTACAATGGCTTGCTTCAGGGAGGTGTTAAAGATGTCTGTAAAGACATCCTTCAGCTCCTCTGCGCAGTCCTTCAGCACTCTACCAGGGATGTTGTCTGGTCCTGCTGCTTTCCGGGTGTTGACGGTGGAGAAAGTCTTTCCCACGCTGGCAGCAGACAGGTACAGAGTCTGGTCATGCGGAGGCAGTGGGGTTTTCTGTGGTCGGGTGTTGTTTTGTGCTTCATAGCGTGCAAAGAAGTTGTTCAGGTTATTGAGCAGAGAGGTGTCGCTCTCACAGCTCTGTGGCGCTGGCTTGTAGTCCGTGATGGCCTGAATGCCCTGCCATAGGCTCTGTGCATCTCTGCTGTTCCCGAAATGGGAGGTTATCTGGTGTGTGTACTCTTTTTTTGCTTTCCTGATGCCCCGAGACAGGTTGGCTCTTGCTGTTCTCAGGCCATTTCCTTGTTTCACATTTTCCTTGTTCCTGTTTGTTGTTGCTGTTTCCTTGTTTCCATTTCATTGTTGATCTTTTTGAATAGTTTCACATTTTAATCACCCTTTTCTCCAGATCCCAGCATTCCATTTGAGAACTTACAGAGCTCTTCAAGTTCAATGGTACCAGTTAATTCATCCTGAAATATGACCTCATATTCAACGATAAGCAAATAAGCAGTATGCTAATGTTGCAGTGTGAGATTACATAGTTCTTCACCTCCACATGTAGAAAAAGCATCAGACCCAGTACATGGTGGTGTTTTTTTGTGTTACACACCTACACAACAGACTGGTATGTTACATGTTTGTGGTAGCAGATAATTTGCCCTGTCACTTAATTTTTGATATTTGATGAACTTCTACACTACTCTAATGTCCTCTGTGGATGTTATGAAGACATGCTTCATGAACTTTTTGTTTGTACAACAGTGCCATCACATGGCATTGTCAATGAGGATAGAGGAGGAACCCACAGACTTCTACGAAGGGCACAGGCAAAACTTTGTACTGCTGCAAACTTGCAATACATTATTCTCTACTTTAATGCCATCTTTCCTGCAGCTCAGCTCCTAGAAATTGATTTTTGTCAAACTGCATTTGTCCAGCATAAGGTACACTAGTTGTACTTGTAGTACATACCACTGCACCGTGTGCTGCAGGAAGTTATTCACTCTCTGGATTCTATAAGGGAATCTGTTCCATTGAACCAGGTACTAGGGCATTTATATCATCTCAACATATCAGTTTAAATTGATTTTTTTCTGCTGTTTTCTTAAAAACTAGAGCTTTTGTAAGTCTAAAAGATACGTGCTATCTGACCTCAATCACTACCTGTGTATCCACTGCAAAGGTAAACAGGCAAGATAAACTTCAGTGTGAAATACAAATGGTGACAAGCAGTCTTTGTGCCACAACCAATGCCATTTATTGTCTGGGCCTGAAAGTGCATTATAAAGTCACAAATGATACAAAGCACATGTATCTAAGTGGTGAATTCTCTCCCTACTGTGTGGTGAGCGTACTGGCACAGAATGGCTGTCCTTACGTCATTTTGATGGGAGATACACAGTGGTAGTTGAAGTGGTTCTCCATTGGTACTTAAATGTAACTGTCTGGTTTTGAAGTGTAATATGACAATATACATTGTAAGGGCAATTTAATGAATGTGAGTACCCAAGTATGACTTTCATCAAAATAACCAGCCCTTGCCCTTATCACAGTAGCGCAGATTTGCAGCATCCATTCCAGCAATTTTTGTAAATAATTTGTGTCCAATCCCTCCAAGCTCCTTTCCAAGCATGCAGACAGTTCTGTCTTATTTGCTGGACAGTCATTTCAAACTTTTTGATCCAGATCATCCCATGCCAGCTGAATGGGCATCTGCAGACTGGGGATGCCAAGACATAATTCTCAAAACTTTTTGCATTTCTTTGGATTGGATATAATATTGGCTCTATTTTGTAGAATGCTTGGGATCATTATCCTGTTCAAGATTTTTTGTCCAATATGTGAACCAGTAGGAATTGTGTGATGTTGAAGAATTAATTGATAATTTTCTTTTTGCATAATTCATATAATTTGGACTACACCTCCAGACCTTCCTCCCCCAAAAAACACCCCAATACCATCATCGATCCACCTCCATGTTTCACTGTAGGAACAACACAACTACATAGGCCTACAACTACCATGATCATGCTTGCTAGCTGAATGTCTGCCTCTGACAGCAACATGATGCCCCCCTAAAAAAAAAAAGTAAAGAAAAATTTTGTTAGCATCACATCCTAAGCATCAGTTGACCAGGTTAATAGTTGAAGACTCAGTAAACAGGTTTAATAGGAGTACATTTGTATCAACCAATGGAAAATGTTTAGGACTACAGATCAGGTCTGAAATTATATTGGGGGGGCTCAAACTAGAATTTGCCTAATTTAACATTTTAGTCAGCAGCTGGCATTGGTAAGTATGTATATGTACCCAGCAGTGAACCCCATCCTTATGAATTATGCTCTGTATGATAACCGGCATAATCAATAATTACTTCTTGATAGGCTTAATCGGCCAGGGGGGGTTACACATGATTGGCCGGAAGGCTAACATTGAAAACCATCAGAGCAGCATAATCCTCATGAACAGTGACAGACTGTATACGTGTACAATACTGCTCTAGATAAAAGGTAATAGTGCATATCAAACCAGCTGATACGAATCAGTTGCCCGACGACTCCACCAGCAATGCGCAATTTTGATGCCCTCGAAAGTAGCGATTCGCGTTTGGTGGCTCTGCGCATGCGCGAGTAGCAGTACAGTAGAGTAAAACTGAGCAAAAGACGGACGTAGGCTCTTGCTATTTTATTTATTTAGCTGTCGTGTCTTAGCCAGCTAATAGAGTACATTTGCCATTTCGGTGTTATAAAAGTACAAAAACCATGACGGAGTTACAGTCAGCCTTACTACTCAGACGACAGCTAGCAGGTAAATTTAAAAGATAGGTGCTAACTAGCTAGCACCTAACAAAACGCATTTGTTTACTATTGTAGACGGCTACATTAGTTAGGTGAACTAGTTTTGTGTGCATTGGTAGCTAATCAGCCGGAGCAAACCGCAGTGTATTGAGGCTCGTTGTGTTGCTTTACATTAGAAAGTAGCCGGGTGTTTGGGAAAAATGTTTTCAAACAATGTAGCTAGTTAGCTTACGTAAATAGTTTACGTTGGAGTTCTTCACTAAAACTGACTCACTACTCGGCTAGCTAACAGCCCTAAAGCAGTTTTCTTCCCTTCCGTAGTCGGTGCCTTTGGCAGTAGGTTTGTTTGTGCGTGGCTGTTGTACGAGCTGAGTAACTGTTGCGTGTTGACATGATGTGAACTGAATTGTTAAGACGTATAGCTGGGGCTATTTAACACATTAGCCACAAGCTAGGCAGCTTTATGGCTTCTGGTTTCGGTGTCGGCACTTAGCCACTTCGGGGTAGCTCTTGCCCCCTCTTTGTTTTTTCCTTTTGTCTGCAAGCCAGCTAAAGCTGCATTACAGAGCATATCCCTTGACATGGTTTAAACACTGATCGGCTCAGAAAATCAGCCTCCACGTCTATTATACATGTCGCCTTATCAGTGTGATGTGGCTTATCTACAGTGTGATATTAAAATAGGACGGCAGGTCCAGAAAGCTGCTTTGTGCACATCCTGTGTATGTTCTGCTCATTGGTTCACTCGATCATTCGGTTCAATAGCGTTGAAGGCCTGGTTTAACTGCGCATGTCTAAATTTATGGATAGCCTACGTTGTACCCACTTATTTGTTAACATTTAATGATGTCTTGATAAACATTATCGAAAAGTATCTGGGGGGCAGATTTCCAGTCTGATGATCTCCGTATTGGTTTCAAGAGATGCTCTACCTCGCATTTTTCAGCAATTGCTAAAAGTTAGTTATTCATCTGAGAATTCTGTTTTTTCTTTGTTATCCCTCTGGAAACCCTTATGTTAACTGTTTTAGTTTGTGATTAATTTACCACTCACAGTGTGTAATTGTAATATGCTTTCGTGTTGATTCCAGAGTTGAATAAAAATCCAGTGGAAGGCTTCTCTGCAGGATTAATAGATGACAATGATCTCTATCAGTGGGAAGTTCTAATCATTGGCCCGCCAGACACACTTTAGTAAGTATGAGAGTATTTTTATCCATAGAGTAAGGTACTTATTTCTTGTTGTTTTTTTGAAAATCAGGTATATGTGGGGTTTATTGGTCACAAATGGAATACAGAAGTGATAGAGTGAGATTAAGAATGAAATATCTTGTTTCTAAAAAATGATATAGTACAGTGTACCTGTAGTATGAATTTTGCTACATTTTATATTTTTCCTTTTCTGCTCACAGCGAAGGTGGTGTGTTTAAAGCTCATCTCACATTTCCAAAAGATTATCCACTTCGTCCACCCAAAATGAAATTTGTCACTGATATTTGGCATCCTAATGGTGAGTGCACTAACTTAGCTTTTGGTCTGATTTTATTTTTTTTTCTTCCTCCTCACATTCAGTTGCAAACCTAATTATTTTTTGTCTGTGTCCCATTTCCAGTGGACAAGAATGGTGATGTGTGTATTTCTATTTTGCACGAGCCTGGGGAGGACAAGTACGGGTACGAGAAGCCGGAGGAGCGCTGGCTTCCCATCCACACTGTAGAGACCATCATGATCAGCGTGATCTCCATGCTGGCGGATCCTAACGGTGACTCCCCTGCTAATGTAGATGCGGCAGTAAGTACTTTTGATCCACTTCGCTTTCCTTCACTGTATCTTTGTCATTCTAGTATAGTTCAGTGTTAGAAACTCAGTTTCCCAGTGGTCCATGCTGTCAAATGTTTTTCCCATGTTCCATTTTCACCCTTCCCTACCACATAAATGTTTGCTTCCTTATTTATCTAATTATGTAATTGTTCTATGGCATTATCTTGTACAAATATAAATTCAAAACTCCTAGTTCCAGAGGGAATTTCTTCTTTTAGTAAATACCATTAAGACTGCTATTAATGTCTGATGATAGTTATCATCTTTTGATGTTTTCTTATATATGAAGGAGAACAGTTGTAAAATTAATGTGCTATCCCTACAACATTTGTAACATTGTATCGAATGGTTTGCTAAAAATAATTTAACAAATGACACTAATCACCTGGTTAATTTTTTATATTCACTTTATAGTTTGTTCTAGTTTGAATTTTTCTTAAATTTTGATGAACTCTACATTTCAACCCTGGCAGAAAGAGTGGAGGGAAGACCGACACGGCGAATTCAAAAGGAAAGTTGCTCGTTGTGTAAGAAAAAGTCAAGAGACTGCTTTCGACTGACGTTTGTTCAACACCTAGTAGCTTCAGTTTTCAGGGTAAGAGCTATAAACATCCATCATTATATTATTTTCCCTTAGCATTATTTTTATGATTCCGACAGATTGAATGGAGAATACTAGTTAGTATTTAGGGCAGTAACATAGTGAGGTTTTCTATTTTATTCGGTTTTTGTTGCAAAAATATTCCAGTTGTACATGATCTAATTCACTGTCTGTCAAAAAAATTCACTCTGTTTGGTTGACATCAATGCCTAGGCAAGTAAATAATGTACAGCAGTATTGCTTTGTCTGGTGACAGTCTGGCAGCCCAGGTTAGGAAGGATACTGCTCTGTATGTACAGTAATCATTACTTTATTGTTCGCTTACTTTGGTTTGAAAAAACTGGAGTTAATGTACTTTGTTCCTACAAAAACCAGGAACCCTGGTTTTATAAGAGTACATAATGTGATATATCACCATGTAATGAAATTTCACTAATTAATTTAGTTGCATGTACCATTCGTTACTTAACCACCCTACTTCCATTCCCAACAAGCTAAAGTTTTCCATATGTTGTTCGCATGAATTTTGTGGTGCTACTTTGGACAGATTTTAAAGCAATGTTGAATGTACATTTCTCTAGTAAGATGCAATAGTTTGCTTTATTTGTAGTATACCTAGTGCCTAGTGGAGAGTTTTTTTTTTTTTTTTTCAGGTCTCCGATTGACAAGCAGGGTGGCACTACCTTGATGGACTCTCCCCACTTATTGCCAGACTTGCCCTAGTGAGCTATGGCTGACCCAGGCTGGAAAAACAGGCTGTGGTAGAACACATTGCCACAATGACATGAACTCTGACTGAAATGCACAACAAGTGCCAACTTAAAAGCAAGTGGAAAAAAAGGAAGACACAGTTTCTGAAGTCCAGTGATTTACTTCAATTTTCAGGAAGAATGGGAAACACCTGTACATAGCACTGATATAAAATGTTATATACGAACTGTTCATATTCACACAGGAACATCTAGTACCAAATAAACAGCACTTCTGTAGTCATCACATGGACGCCGCACACTTCGGTGGATTTTGGTGCCCTTTCCCTCACCCTCCATAATCCAGTTGCATCAGTGTGATTTTTATGTGTTGTTTTGAACATAAGCCTTGTAATAGGATTATAACAGAAAAATTGGTTATGGCTCTCATTAGCGACTAATAATATGCCAGACTGATTGGCTCCAAAATTATGATCTCGGTCATCCTGATTTTTGCATGTGTACCCTTTTCTTATTATCATAAATGTTGGAAATGAAATGATTGGTAACCCACTTTGAAGCATTTTTGCGTGTAATCCTCTGCTGCTGGCTTCCTTAAACCATATGAAAAAGAGGGAACGTGATGATTCCTTGGCAGTGTTTAGCTGCACCTGATTGGCTTGGTGGCTTCAACATGGCATGTTGTCAGGTCCGGGTGCTTCAGATGGCCTGCTCATGTCGTGTTGCATGCTCCTGTTGTCATTTCCTTTTCTTTAGATTTATTTTTACTAATGTGCCCTCCCCTCAAAAGTGCCTCTCTTTGCTTGGTAAATGCATTGTAATTAACATAACTTCAGGGTAAATAAATCAACAGTGTCCATTGCTAGGCACACTGTCCCATAACTTTTTCTACGATTTGTGCTCCAATTAGAATGAGCTGGTATATTTAAATGGCCATTTGGTGTAGCAATAATACAAACACACACATAAATTTCCTAAGCAAATGGTGCACTTTTCCCCTGTATCTGTGCCATAAAACTAGGTTTGGGATACCTGATATACAGTGTTGTTTTCACTGGTGCCCATTTGGGCTTCATGAAGCACACGTTTCCTCTTTGATTTGCTTTCACATTTCTGGGTTAAGTTACCACAACAATATAAGTATGTGTTGGTGTTTAGAAGTATTTGCAGTTTTTTTTCCCTTTTGGATGGACTGCTACAGGTTTCATGCATAATGTGCAAAACAAAAGTGATGTATATTTTTCATGCTATGGAAATTGGCCCCCTCTGTAGTAAGTTCTTCCAAAATATAATTTCTGTAAATTCAATCATTTTTGTTAACTTGTGTCATCGTCGCAACCATAAGTAGGATGGATGGATGGGTTTTTATGATGCAGCAAAAGCTACTGCTATGAGAGTGTTATAATTTGCCTATTGGATGAAATCCATTACTAAACTTTGCATGCCTTTACTGATCGGACGGATGAATTGATGTTCTGTGACATGAATGGATTCATTTTTCCCAGCAGTGAAATGTTTTTGTGGAATAGGACATTGTTTACATAGGATGTTAGATATTCAGTGAAAGATTGACCAAGATGCATTTAAAGGTAAATTTATCATTTCAAGATTTTTTTTGCCATTGTGATGTCTTAAAGGGATAATCCACACTTTATTTGCCAGATGGGTGTAGGTTCATATCTAGCTTTGTTGCAGCGGAATATTTGCATATGTATTTATTCTAGTTTTGGATGCTGTTACATATAATGTATTTTTGGTAACATCTGTAGCAGAGATTTTAGACCATTAACCACAACACTGTTTCCAGAACGATCAGTCAACATTATGAAATACGGACTATATAAATGACATCATTAGGTTCTATTGTCATGAGGTGCATAAAAATAAGTAGCAGTTAATCACAAGCCATTTCATTCTGCTTTTGTTCAGCAGGGGGCAGTGCTGTCCTCCCTTTTCCAGGTATAACAAAAGCATGTACATTTATTCTCAGAAGACCAGTCCTCTTGGCACAGAACATCACGGCTGTTGTCTTCTGCTCTTTTGTTATCCGTATAGGAAAATATTACCAATGCTCTTAAGTTTGTGAGTCAGCCTGTACAATAAAGGTGTTCGCCTGTACTTATCACCCAGCAGCAAAATGCTGCATGTGGACTAAATGATCTAAATCAGGGGTGACCAATCTTATCCGCAAAGCGCCGGTATGTATGCAGGTTTTTGGGATAACCTGTAGGTCAGCTGTTCAAACCCAGGTGTGAGGACTCTTCAACCAATCAGTCCTCTGATTAGTAATCTAATTAGGGAGTTGCAGCGAAAACCCGCATACACAGTGGCCCTTTGTGGATAAGATTGGCCACCCCTGATCCTAATGTTTATGGGGTTGCTATAGAATATCAACTACTGTGCTGTGTTTTCCAGCCTTTAATTATAATTTTATGTGTCTATGAAAAGGCACTTTATAAGTTGGTTGATAACATGACATGTTTCTCAGAACAAAATGTAGAACTGACTATTATAAAATGTGTATTATTAAATGCGTTACAGGTATGGATGGATTTTAGAATGAAACAAAAACTGAAATATGAAAAAATACTTAGGCTGCAAACAATGCAAGAATGGACAAGACCCACATAATGTGCACATTTTTCTGATATAATTATGAAGACAAACTTAGGTGCAAATAGGCTTTAAAGAGTGGCAGTAAGTAGGAGCTCAAATTAAAAAATGTTAGTACTATCAGGTGAGTATTTCAGTGTTTTTTTTATCAACAGTTGCTTACTTTAATGGTACTCTGATAACTTTTCTGAATTAAGGAACAGTTATTTGTAACACAGTTGTGCTGGGAAGACAAAATAAATGTTACATTAATCCATATACATTATATTGTCTTTCAAGCGCAAGAGCTTTAGAAATTGAAAATGTTAGTTGTAAATTACATTTCAGATAATTGAAATGTCTTTGATAATTTATTTTGTAATATTTCTCTATGTTCAGTTTCTTAAATTGTAGTGGAACTACCAAAAAGATCTCAAAAAATTAATACACAATGTATTCAAATCAGACCGAAAGATTGTTTTTTTAATAACGAATAAAAGATATTGAGTTAGAGTGAGAGTTCTTGTATTTTCATTAGGGCTGTCAATAGATTAAAATATTTATTCGTGATTAATCACACAACTGTCCATAGTTAATTGCAAATTAAATCATGAATTGTTTGAGTTGTGATCGAATTTTCCCCATAAGAAATAATGGAAAACCAATTAATTGGGTTCCTGCCCCAAAAAATTACACCTAAATATGTTTTTTTTAAGCATTTAAACACAAAATGAACAGGATAAAACAAGAAGAGTATATACTGTACTAAACACACCTAAGCACATTTATCAAAACAGTAATTTGTAAAGTAAGAAAATAAATGTATCCAAACAATGTGTAAAGTAAAAAAAAAAAAAAAGTGTTCTGCCCCGATCGTCCGCTCCTTGCGTGTGCCACCCCCCTCTTTAACCCCGTGTTGAATCCCTGTGTGATCAGCTGTTTTTGGTTGTTTTCATTAGCCCTCTGTATTTCGTCCGCGTTTCAGTTTGTTTCCCCAGTCTGGTCATTGTATTGTCCTTCTGCGTTTTGCCTGCCTCACATGTAATTAAACCCCGTATTCCCCGATACCCTGACGTCTGCGCCTTTGTCTCAGTTCTGTCCCCGCTCGGCTTTGTTATTAATATTAAAATAATGAATAAGAAATCTTTATTTTTAAGTGTATTTTATTATATAATAATTACTGTTACTGTCTATTGTTGTCTAAATGTATTTTTACTCTCTATATGTATTCAGCTAGTGTAAACATGCACGATGCTATCACAGCGAATGCAAGGCTGAGACTGAAGCGTTACCCTTTGTTTCAGCTGAGAGAGATGCTGCGTGACTCATTTCCCTGCGCCTACAAGTTATCTTAGGTAGTTGTTCACGGTTTGACTTCTGAGATTAAGACCGAGCTCTAGGTAATTTTTTTTCGAACTGGTTGGTTCGACTTTTAAGAAATTCGAGTTCTAATGAGTTCGAGAACTGAGGTACCACTGTATTAGAGTTGGCAAGGCAAGATTGCTTTATGCAAATGTATGCATTTATTATTGGAAATCAATTGGCAAAAATAAACAACAACAAAGATTGTCCAAAAGTCATCAGAAACCCTTCATCGCGTAGATTTGCTCTGGACATTGGTGGGGACCTATGACTCCACCCCCCCATCCCCTGCCCCACCCACCAACCCCGCCACCCCAACTCCGTCCACGGAATGCATGTTTTTTTAATATGCTGCAAAATGCAAAATCACTTTACATTAATACTAGCAATGCTTCGATTAATATTAATCCACTCGAAATGCAATTCATTAAGTTAAATTAAGGAATAGTGTAATGTCAAAACCCCACTAGCATTAACGTTAACTGTTGTCGTTACTTTGATGGACATTGATGGATTCACTAGCGAACTTGAAGTGACTTACACTTTTCTTTGAAAAAAAAGCTCCTTATGTCCAGCTTCTTTTTTTTTGCTGCCGCCATCCTCACATGTGTCACCCAACACACCTTCTTGCACGGGGAAAAAAATCCACTGCATTTGGCACTGCTTGTATCTGAACGCAGCCACAGCCTCTCACATGATAGCAGGGAAATGCACAGCCAATCAAAATGTTCATATGTGTTTTGGGGGCGGGAGGACTCAAGGAGAGAACGTGATTTATCCCTTTCTGCGTGTCTAGGTTAATGTTGACAGCACGATTGTTTTTTTTTTGTTTGTTTTTTTTTAAGTGGATTAAATTATTGGTGGGGACATTTCAATGGTCGGAGGATATTGGTGGGGACACATCCCCTCCGTCCACCAGAAATCTACGCCCCTGCATTACATATAGGATAGTGTATAGCTGTATGCTTGAGCTTTGCAGGAATCTCACATCTTTTTTGTTTCTGATTGCAATGTATAGAAATGACTGCCATCAAACCTCTATTTTGAAAATTAACAAAATCCTTATGGCCTATATAGCAAATAAATGCAAATAAACCTAATTCATATAGTCTTTCTGACTTTCTGATGTTTATCAGTGACAAACTAGTGTCCTGTCTCAGATTCAACCTCCCAGTTTATCTCACTCTTGCCTGACTTTTGTTTTTACTAGTTTTCCAATGGGATGTTGCTACCAGCTCTCACAAGGTTATATAATGTTTTAGCCATGTAAAGCTTTAAGAGATTTAGGGATAAGAGCTGTCACACGCGTCCAGACCAGCATGTCCTCTTGTTGCCCCATTTCTAAAAATAAATGATTGGGATTAGATTTTCAGTGCTTCTGTTAAAGGAAAAAAGCGGCCTACCTTACTCTGCATGACTGCCAGGTGTAGTGCAACACTCTTCCATAGTGACCATTACCTTCTGTCAGTAAAGTCTCAGAGGGTTAAAGGCTAATCCCTCCGGCTGAGAGATCCCTCCGGCTGAGAGATCTCTCAGGCTGGCCTTGTTTGAGGCGCATCAAAGTTTCCTGTGTCCTGTAGGCTGGAACCATGCAGCTCCTCCTGAGACTCGATCTGCATACGGTCCAGCTATTGCATGTGAGTCAAATTGTGTTCATTTTTTCAGCTGTGTGTTCCTTGTTTCCTTTTCTTGAGACCTGATAATCAGATAAAGACACCCATACACACACATATACATGTGTGTGTGTATATATATATACATAATTTATTCTGCTATGTCTGTGACATAAATGCTGTATTATTTGTGATGTCTGTTGTTGTTTTGTAACAGGTCAGGATGCATTTCATCTTGTGGAGATTAGTAATAATTAGTATTATTAAAGCCAGTTCCATTAAATTTGTGGAACCTTAGTATTAACTTTTATCAGCTACCCGATATGTCAGTTGAACCCTCTTATGAAAGTGTTGAACCACTATGAGCCACCAGAGTAGGTTCACTGAATTTGATTATAGATTCCAGAAGTGCCTGGAACTTGTCCCTCATGTTTTATTTTGATGGTAATGAAAAATGGAGATGCTGCTCCTGAATCTTCTGTAAGTGTTAAGCATGATTGAGATTAAGTGAGTGGGATGGCTGTAGCACTACACTGTAAAAAATAATACCCTATATCTACTCAATAAAATTGTGGCAACATATTACAAGCAATATTATTAATTAAATTCAACAACAGTTAAGAATTGAGTTAAAATTAATTAAATGAGCTCCTTAAAAATAACTCTTGAAAATGAGTAACTGCAAGTAGCACGCATAAAAGAATTAAGTAAAATTTTAACAAAAATATTGGTTTCATTTGACACCCCCTGCCCAATGCAATTGAGTCCTACTTAATGGAATTGTTTTGACGTAAAACAAAATGTTATTTTATTTAAAATTAGCAGGTTAATTAAAATAATTTAAATCTGATTTCAGGTATGAATAATA